GTAAGCCAGCTAGTAGGTTATATGAATGCTGTCACTTGTCTTCCCTGGAGGTCTTCCACATATCCAACCTCAAATCTAACGTAAGGTGATATTCCGTATATGCTCAGCGCTTTCTCATGGTGATTGAAGGCTCACACTTGCGAAGTAGGGGTCTCTTCTGAGATTTCCCTTCGTTTACGTATTTGAAAAAGGTCCACCTTCTGCATTTACCACAGTTTCTTTATTAAGAAGCTGGAGAGAGTATTCATGAAAGTTCTCTGACATAGGCGGCTAAAACTGTATTGTGGGTATTGTTGATTTCTGTCCTTACGACCGAGTCTCTGCCCATAAACGTGTCGGATAGTGCCAGTCAGTACGATATATACCGTCTGCGCCCCGGAGAGGTTCCCATGTAAACCAGCGTGCGTACGTGGTGCGACGCTGCCTTCCGCTCTTTTCGACATGTTTCTCCTGAGATTTCAACGGAAGTGCCCGAGCTTAACACGTTCAAAAGTGCGAAAGGCAACGAGATGACGTGGTACCCATGGGAACCTCTCTGGGGCCCCCAGACGATACTTTCTCATAACTCCTATCCAGCGTTTGATGCAAGTCCAATTGAAGACTAGTGGATAGGAGTTTTAAGTTGGCTTCTAACGAAACCAGCTCAGAACTTCTTTCTTGATTGATTTGTTGAAAGCTATCTTAGAACTTCTATCCAGTTCTTTTCGTTAGAAACCAAAGAAGTATTGATGCCTCAGTCCATCCTGATAAAATTTTTTATTTGACTAATGTTTGAAAAAGGCATTGTAAAGGAGCTCTTAATTTTCACTGAAACCTAGGGATCAAGTCTGTTTCATAGCAGAATTTCTCGATTCTTGCCTGTTTTTCATGAATGCATTGCTGTTTCACATCTATGTGCACCCTCCAAAGAGCAGGAACGGATGGGCTTGAAGCCATCGGGCACAGTCATATGATGATTGGTGACTGGAGCGAAAAAGTACTTGTTAAGCATCATAAGGCATGCATAGACGCGTTGAGTTTTGAACAGTGCGCTGATCGATGGGTCGAAAAACAAAGGATTTACTGAGAAATCCTCGTGTCATTCACTCACTTCTTCATGTATGGGCTTTTTCGGAACATGGGAATAAAGGCGGTCAAGCACTTTTCGTTGGTCTTGCACTTGACTTAGTGGATTCCATCAACTTTTGGTAAGTAGTGACAACTTAGTTTGTAAAATTGCATGCTGTTGTGTTCTAAACAAAACGTGAAGAACCTGAAGCATCAGTGGACAGTAACTCCAAACTAATTTCGTCCATGGTCTTTGCAAGGCACCCATCATTGTTAAACAACAATTCTCAAAACTGATTGTGTGGAACCGCATTTACGTTTTCTTCAGATAGAGTTTGGCTTATAAGTTTTGGTGGGGACAAATTGACCCATATTTAACTTAACATTTTAACAAGCAATCCCTTTGAAGGCATGAACGAGATGGTACTTGATCAAGAAAGCCCTGCTCCTGTTTTTCTCAAGTTGACAATTAATGTCTATGCGATGGAAAGCGAACGCATGCCAAAAAACATCAGTGTGACTTGAAATCATGAACCTTCTTGTACGCCACATAGGTTTATTATCATGTTTACCTGTGTGGCTTACAAGAAAGTTCATGATTTCAATGCCCACGTTTTATAATCAGAGAACATACTATAACATACCAGTGTGACTGTCTCACGCTCTATTGAATGGGCCAATAAATCCGAAATGTTACTTTGCACCAAATGAGATGGAACAAACAAGCATCCGTCATCTCATAAGCATAGTACTCAGAACCGCCGGGAAAATGTTTGTACAAATACCCCACGTTATAAATGCAACCTAGCGCAGGCCACAGTGGTCACATTCCCACCATGATCAAGCAATGTACTATGATTCTTTGCTTATCAACTATGTAGATATGCAAAGAATCACTGATTACATTGATTCCACCGTATGCGAAGAATCCTCGGTTACATTGCCTTCACTCTATGCATAAAGGCCCGTATGCACTAACATTTCTGCGGCGAGGGGAGCGGCGTCCCCCGTTATGAAGGGACCGCGTGCGGACGCCGCTGCGGCTTTTTCATCATTGGGGACGCCGCTCCCCTCGCCGCAGGGATGTTAGTGCATGCGGCCCAAAATCATAGAGTTCAAAGTACCTAGCGTGCTCCGGCATCGTAAACCATGCGCGCTGGCTAATTTGGCGCCGGGTCATGGGGCGCGCTTTGCGCAGCCATGTGTAGATTTAAGTACGTGTAACAAAGAACGAAAAAACAATGAAATGAAAACGAAAAGGGGCTAGGAGCCCAATAGTGGTCAACAGATAGATGAAATTTCCTGCTCTTCTGCACTATTCTTGCTCTCCTTCAAGAAAAACGCCTGCGAAAATATTGCAGCGGCCTCCTGGAAACAAATGGAATACTTTTATGCAAGGGTAAAACGAAGAGACATGAACGAGCGGAACAACACGCATAATCGAGCACGCAGAACAGCGCTTATTCCTCAACCCCGCTTTGCGCTCGGAGTTCTACTCATCAAAAGGAAAAGCGGGGTCGAGGAATAAGGCCCGAATTGAGAGAAACCTGGAAGAAAAACCGTCAGAAACGGTCAGAAAACTCCAACTGCGCATGCAGCACAATTCTGGCACAGTTCGAGCGCTGTGCTGGAACTGTGCCGCTTGTGCGGCTCAGTATGAACCCTGCCATAAGCAACATTACCTTGCCTTAGATAGTCAACAAAGCGAGTTTCTTTTTGTTCTTTGTTAGATAACAAATACCTGCCATAGGTAGATTCTTTATAGACGCGTACACTGTTTCCTGCAAAGTTGTGCTACAAAATGCTCATCGGAATGCGACTTTGTAAAACTATAGATCCAGAAATTCTTAGCATGCAAATGACCTCTTTCTAGCCCTTACAAGTCCTCAGACAGTCAAGGGATACCTCCGGTGGGCAAATGGCGCGAGTCTGCTACTTCGCGCTCTGAAGCGCTCCGGAGCTCTGCCATTTTACTCATTTTGGTGCTCCGGGGCTCTTCCAAATCTGGCGCACCTCCGGAGCAGAGATTTGCGTCCCGGAGGGGGGTCCATTCGCCTGCTTGTGACGTCACCGTGACGTCACCGTAACTACCTGGACTTTTTTGCCGAAACTTCTGTGAAAAGTCAGTAGGTTTCGAAATTATCAATATTGCTTAGGCGACCATTGGCTACGCAGGGAAAAAAATTTCTGCTATCTTATTACATTTCTAAGTTATACTTTATCAACTTAGGGTTTCCAAGAAAAATGTTCTGTGATTCTTAAGTAAAAAAATATTTGTCATTGTCGCTACAAAAATATAGGAGTGCGCTATTTCATTAGTTCCGCAAGGATTGTTTCTGGTAAGAGCAAGGTACCTGTAATCAAACTTCAAAAACTACAACTTTTGCAACAAAACGGCAAAGTTCAAAGCATTAGATAGCAAGTTCGACCAAAATAGAGTATCAAAATTTGTGAAATCGACTAAAGCTCAAAACGGTGGTCCATCTGCGCTCTTTCTGGGGCACATCTTGGCAAGCCGTAAGATTCTTTGTACACATGAGCGCTGAAGTGCATAATCTCCTTTTAAGGTGTGAAGGCTGAATAACACATGAATTCTCTGCCTTTGAAAGAACATTCGACACCTTAAGATGGAAGCATCTTATTCCCACAAGTGTAGTGGCCCCGAAACTCCGCTTCAATCAAGTATCCTTTTTTGCTATCGACAGCTACTAACATAAGATACGAACTCAAATCATATGATACGATAGGACTATTTCACATTTTGTGTAGCCCAGTTACAAAATGGATTATTGATAAGAGTGGTTTTGCAGCTCGTATCGCCGTTATATGCCAACAATGTTATTAGTAAGCACATGGTTTCTATACTCCAAAGAATCAAGATATAAAACTGTTTTATTGTCCTTGGGGATCACGAATTTTCAAATGCTGTTGAAGGTTTTCTCTCCTATTACTCCATCTCATATTCAGACCATATCAACTTTTTCACATGGTAATCACTCCACTCCAAATGTGCTTGACTGATAGACATATACATGGTATAAGTAAGCGCTCTACTGATAAGGGCTCTTAGGTGCCAGTCATCCAAGTGGAACTCGTTCGGTAGAGAAGCAAAGCAGGTACTGTGAACACGATTTATGCGGATGAGTACCAGCGAAGCAAATGGGAGTTAAGTTCGAAAAATTTCAAAATTCCCGCAGAGAATACAGCTCGTACATGTTTTTACTTTATGTAGTTTGTAAGAATGATTTTTTTACGATGCACAGGCAATGTATGACATCCAAGTTGCGTATCCTCGCAATGCGAACAGATAAGATGAATTGTGAAAAACTTGTATGATCACTAACTTTCAAGAGTGTGTCGGCATACCCAGATACTGGATTGACGAAGAAGTTTTCTGGCATTCCATTTAGACAGAATTTTTGATTCAAGGGGAGTATCAAATGGGACATATGGCATACTGTTGGATACAGTAAATCAAGCTTTAGAAGGATACAACAGAGAAAGCGTAGGATTTTGATCAAGCTTAGATCTCCCCCTTCCATGAACACCGACACTGCCAAATGCTTTAAGATCTAGTAGACACACGCTTCCATACAAACATGTACAGTCTATATATAGACTGCGCTTAAATAGGAAAAAAACGAGGTATTAGAAGGTGGCAAACACCGCTCTTATTGACCTAAGTCTTCTCCCACCTGCCCAGACATAAGTTACATAAATGCGAGAATGCAAATACTTTTCGCAATTCTAGATGCATTATATCTTGAGGACAGCGATTTTTGTGTTAAGAAATGTCCAAAAACTTCTACTCACCTACTTCTTGAGATAAGCGAAATCAGTAACAGCGGTAACAAACGGTTTTGTAAATTTTCCCTACTTCAGCCTATACCTAACGATATGGACTTGAATAGGATTTGAGTCAATGCTAAGAAGTAGCTTTATTCCAGCTTCATTCACAAATTGACTAGGGAGCATATGAGAGTAAAGACGCCATAAGAGTGAAGTACCAGTGCTACACTCTTCGTTGTTGAGATCACTGGCAAGGAAGTGGTGTTTGATACCCTGAAAATCACTAGTGAAAATAAAGGTAAAAAGTTGAAAGCTTGTGGAACAAGAATCCCATCCAAGAAAGTGCTGATCAATCTTTGTATATTTGACAAATGTCGTACGCAGCCTACCTAGTAGACGAGAAAGGAATCACAGTAATGTTGCGTGGTGTTGTAGAGTTGACGAATCTAATGTACTTTTCTTAAAGTAAACTTAATAAAATTGCATCAATCGTGGATCTTTTCAGACTTCTTCCGCTTGACAGCATAGTTTCGATCAAGGCAACAAAAATGAAACAAAACATTATTAATGGACTGAGTAAATGATAAAAAATGTCCAACATCTTTGAATTACTTGTTTCGAGGACCTGACTGCTTCAAAATGTGCTGTATGTTTGACAAATGTTTGTTGTGGAGTACATTGGTGGGCGAAAACGGATGCTCAACTTAATCCTGCGCCTTATGCATCAGCTTTGAAAGTTTAATTTTGTGCCTTTGCTGAGCACGATGAGCTTATAGGCATTTAGTATTAGGCTGAACCGAAATCGAACCGTTCGCACCATTTTCAAAAAATTATAACTTCTATCCCTCACAACGATTTTGCACAGTTAAAATTTTATCCGAAAGCGTAGAGCATGTAGTTTCCACAAGTCCCCTGGGAACTTTCCAACATGCTCAGGTTGCAGGGATAAAAATGAAAGAACGAAATCATCCGAAATTCGGAATTTTTGAGCAAAAATTTTAGAAAATTAGAAAATCCAGAACACCACCCTAAGCCATCACCCTAAGTTTATCACTAACTGAGTCAACTTTGTGCTGATCGAGCTCTTCTTTCAAGAGTTATGATTTTTGAAAAAAATACCTAAAAATCAATTTCCTAAGAATTTTTTAAAAAATTGACTTTTCGGCATTTTTTTCAAAAAATCATAACTTTTGAAAGGAGAGCTCGATCAGCACAAACTTTACTCATTTAGTAATAAAATGTAAGAGAACTTAAGATGATGGCCGTTCTGGATTTCATCGCACACTTTCTAGATTTTTGGAATTTTGCTTAAAAATTCCGAATTTCGGATGATTTCGTTCTTTCATTTTTATCTCAGCAATTCGAGCATGTTGGAAAGCCTCCAGAGGACTTATGGAAACTACATGCCTTACGCTTTCTGATAAAATTTGAATTACGCAAAATTGTGGTGACGGAGAGAAGTTATGATTTTTTGAAAATGGTGCGAACGAACTTTCGGTTCAACCTAATAGAATCGCATCGCCACCGCAACTGGCCTCAATCGCGTGAGGTATAGCTGGTATGCAAGCTTCGCGCGGCAAAACCGATTTGCATCAAGTCATCAACCTTCGTGCGGCAGGAACTAAATCCTCCCTTTCTGCTTACCGAAGGATAGACAAAGGAGGAACTAAAGTGATATCACTAGCGTTGTGGATTCAACGCTCTAAAGAAAATCTCACAAAGTCACCACTTCAAGGTAACCCTCTAAAGTGTCGTCAAGTTATTTGTAATTGCACACCATGCGCTGGAAAACTGATTAGAGCCTGCTCCTTCCAGTGATTACTTCTTGTTTCCTTGCCTCTTTTGATTTAATGAATATGTTTTACCCGGTAGCACACACTTTCACAGTTATACACTCTACAAAATTGCACTGAGAAGCTACTTTGATAATGCCGTCAATCGCCGCGCGTTGTGTGCAGGTTCACATATCAAGTGGTATTGTTAGGTGGCTTGGAAAATGATGCCGCATTACATCCTACCGCAGCAGCAAACAAAGTAAAGTGTGAGATATCTTTTGATAGGACAAAGTAGGCTCTGCAAGATGGACATCAACATCCGCCGAAACTTACTTCACCTAGATTCTGAAGCCAGAGTATAAAAAAATTAAAAGTACCCGAGTATCTCTGTCCAAAATTCTTGGGGATCTTTGATTTGCACAAGCATGTGCCCTCCACATACAGTCATGTGTGCAATTTCTGGAATTTCTTTACGGCTAGAATACAAAGAAATAAAATTAGCGTTTCTGCAACAACGATATCTCTTGGAAAACTAGGTTTCAAAAACTGAAAATTCATGATTATTACCCAAAAGGTAAGTTTCATTTTATAGAATTATCTATCTGCAAGAATCTCAGGATTGCTTTGACGAGAACATGCCAGCTTTCGTTTTCTCATTTTAGCTATGAAAAAATCATGAAACTGTGCATATGAGTGTCTAAAATAGAAAGAGTGTGCGTCAGCAAGTTGGGAATCTTAGGACTTTGGCTTAAGATTCTAGTTTTTTCTTTTGATTTTGCAGGCATTTCGGGCCTTTCGAAATTTTCTTCATAGTACAACTATTGAAATCTTTGCGAATTTGAAGCATATTTTCCTTGTAGAGCTTGTCCCCACTTAACGAACAGTATCTCTTTCACATTAACCATGTTATGCCTCTATACCGCGATAGGCGATGATGCTTCATTTTTTCCAAATCGCCTAGTAAAATGGCCGCGATTTTTTGAGATCAAAGCAGCAAAAAAAGCTTCGTGGATTACATAAATATTCGTTGAAGAGTAAGCAAAGTCTTTGTGTTGTGGAGCTTGTATATGACAAACGGCTTTTCTTCAAGCTGACCTTCGCGTAGAGGAAGAAGCGATGTGAGTGATGTTGCGTGGTGTTGTGGAGTTGAAGCTTCTAAAGTGTAATTTATAAGTGTTTGCGTGTAGTATCTTGAATTTAGTACTAGAAATTTTCGCTGTAAATCTACAGAGTGAAGCAAAAATGAATGTTTAGTGCTTACCGACGAGTGCTGCTTGTTGTAAAATTGCCGGATTTTATGCTAGCCAATCCAAGATTGCTTTTCTTTAAATTGAAAGTGACGCAGTATTGTTTGAAGAGAGGAGCACCAAAATACCACTTTGCATCGGAAGAGGAGGACAGTGCAAGTATGCATTTGTTTCCCATCTAAAAAAGATTTATGGAAATTTCTAGATTGGGTTCATTGGATATCAGCCATGGGGAGACATTCAAAATTCTCCAGAAGGAAATAATCTTATTAAGTGTCAAAAAGTACCGTTTGAATTCTGCTCTCTAGGTGTGAGTGTTAACTCTGAGCGCGATCAAACCGAGAGCATCGCTGTGCGCCTACCTCACAAAGGTGTCGCATTTTCGCAGAATTCTCCTAATTTGGGCTTGAAAATAAAGGGTTCACAGCAAAATCTGGATGTGTCTGCCTTGGCAGCAAACGATAGCTTGCACAACACTGGTATTCTTTCTTAGGCAGAGCAGGTGCGTTTTTGCGGGTGTAGGGCGATTCGCACGACCGTAATGTTTTCTACATAGGACCACCACCGCGCGCGACACACCCTGCGGCGGCCTTTGCCCAGGAAAAGAAGAGGGAGGGAAGATTTTTGGCGTGCGTGACGTGTTAAGACAATTCAACAGGGTGGCACTGGACACCGCCCGTTTGAACCGTCTCCCCGTTTTTGCTTTGTTAATTTCACAGTGATACAAATAATGGAATTAGCATGGGTAGAAGACTTAAAGCCACTGATGAGCTCTTGAGCAAATGGGACGGGCTATGATATGTTGGTCCGCATAAATCGTAGCAGGAGCGGAGACTCTAGGGACATAAACTCCCTTGACCCAAAATATCTTATATGGGCAAGCAAAAAAGTCATTCTTGACACAGACCACATCACTGAACTACATACCTTCACAACAAGCACTTCCGGACTTATGGAATACTTAGCTTTTTCTGTGTTGAACTGGAGACTTGGAATTGTCTTGTAGCATGGGATTTCATAAGATCCGTCAATGTACTGAAAAAAGAGGTTTTTTTTGAAATTCCTATTGAATATTGCATTATTGGCGGTAGTGCCTTTGCTCCAACACTATTGGCGATTTGATCAGCAACTGGCTTTGGAACACTTATGAGTGGTGTTGTATCAGGAATCATAAAAAATTGTTGAGTGTAGCTAAACATTCCCATTGTAATGGATTTGACCTGAATTAAATTCATTAAAGAGTCACCTAACAACAACAAATAACATCATATTTTTCCGTACGTAGTGGAGAAAAAAATTTCACTTTGACGAATGAATGTAGTCAGAATCTGTGTTCTTTCCACATAAGACAAAATGGCAGAGTATTCTTAACTATATAGGTTGGCCCGACAGTTCGTCAGCACCAATTTCAAAAGTCATAACTTCTGGTTTCTCTACCATTTTTCATTTTTATCTAGAAGAGAAATTCATTCTTCATACAATACCGCTCACATTTTTTTAAAAAAAGACGCGAATGTATGGACATGTATGGACATGTCCATCCATCAGCGTCGCGTGGCCATATCTCGCTTCAGAGTGGACGAATTCTGAATCCAAGGCCACCGTTCGATTCAGCTCGGCGCGGAGAATCTTCTGCTATATTGGAAGTGGGGGCAGGATGTTTTCGATATTCCGTTTCCAGTTTTTTCAATTTGTTCTGCGGAAGTCCTTTCGCGAATATGTGAAGCAACGCCTACCCAACATAGAAGACTTTACTAAGTACTATTCGATAATACTGTTCTTGTAAATTATTGTGCGCTAAAAAATAGGCTCAGACTTCTTTCCAAAGGAGGTGAAAGCGTTGGTGAATTTTGGAAAAATCACGCGTTTCTAAATTCTACTCGCTATAACTTCCTTCGGAATAAGTATATTTTGAATCCGAAAACTGCGCCTTGCTCAGCTCATCAAGTCGAATCTTCCTATGTACAGCATGTCCTTGGTATTTCGATTTCAGTATTCTTGAATCTTTCTGAGGACGTCTTTTCGCGAAGGTGTAATGCAGCGAACATTGTCCCGAGTACATTTCAGCAAGGATCTTTCGATAGCACTTTTTCTGTAGATTGTGATGTGCTAAATAGTAGTCGCAGGTTTCTTTTCAAAGGAAATAGAAGGGCTGGTGAATAGTGGAAAAATCTTGTCGTCCCAAATTCTACTCGCCATATCAGCAGGATACGAAGCTATCTTGCTAAGCAGATGTGAGTTTCGAAATCAGCAGGTCGCATAACCTCTACGAGCAAGTTTTCCGATATGTTCGGGTTATTTCATTTTTTCTCGCTTTACTCGCTTTTTTTTGGAAGCGCGCCGATGGATTTTGGTCAAAATGTTGATGCTCTTGAATTGTAAGGAAACTTCGCTTATAGAGGTTTTCGAACACACTCTTTACAAAAATCGTGGTCTTTGAGGATTACAGGGTCTTTTTGGAGAGATACGGTGAGGTGACTGTAACTTTATCACGAAAGTACGTAACTTTGGCCGCACTTCTCGCGTATCTGTCAGAAACCTTGCCTGCTTGCTTTTCTCATTCAAAGTTACTAGGAACTGTGCTATATAATGGTGTATTACTCAGGCTCCAGTCTGTGAAATTCGCCGAGTTACGAGCCTACAAATACACGTCCTCATGAATTTTGCCCAAAATGTAAAGATCGCATATTTCGTCGAAATTCCTCCGTGAGCGCTTGTATGACGCTCGTTGCAGATATTATGTTCGCTTCGTTGAGCGTCTCCCACTGCACTGAATATGGTGCTTGCGTCTGCTTCAGCTGCTCAACTGAATATCAAAGCCATAATATTTCGTGGCTAGAGCTCAAAGCACCAAATCTAACACAATAATATCCATTAAAATATGGAAGGATTTGATCAGCGCATTGTATTAGGTCATCCGGATAGTTTTTTTCTTTTTGCGCCTTTGATGTTGATACCATATTTTAAGAGGGTGTCAGGGGGCTGTTAAAGGTTGCCATATATGGATTTGTAGAGGAAGTCTTCTAGTTTCTGGGATCCTACCGAAATTGCAGAAGACGCTTTGTAGGGAAGTTTACGCGGCTCTAAATTCGACATACGAAAACGCGATTATCGAATAATTGTATTCTCCAAGCTTAAATTTGAGCGTCAGACCGTTGAGGAAACCATCATTGTGCGCAATGCATTTGCCAAGACCACGTCTTTTTTGAGGTAGGTTCAAGTTTACTTCAGAAAGTTCAGATCTAGAGAAGTGAAAGCTAATATTTTGCAGTGCTCTGGAAGGTGTTTCTGCCATATAAACGAGCATCTCTGAGGATCCTTTAAATCGCAATTATAGCTGCGTAAAATTATCAGCAGGCCCTGAAGTGTCATATAACCTTATTAGGAGCCTTCGCTAAAGCTGCAATACCGAAAAATTTCAGCGACATGTACCCACAAATTGTCGCAATCGCAGTTTGAGGACGCGTTGACTCTGCTTTCGTCGCTCATAATTTATGTAGCAATCCTTTTCCAGCCTGAGTTATTAATTACAGCAAAAAATTGACTAAGTGCGCCAATGAGAAGCGAAAATGTGGTAGATCATTTGGAATAAGCATTGAAAGCATGACCAGAACAATCTGTCATTCCAAAAGGTTGATGCACTCAAATTAATGTAATCCTGCTGGTCTTGTGCGCTATAAACTTGCTAAAATGCCATTGTACTGTAAGCGCAGAGTAGTGTGATGTCGCTCTGAAGACTGTTTGTCAAAATTTCAAAACTGAGCAGACTTGCACGTATAAGCTATGAGAGATGCCATCCACGCTCATGACTCCGCCAAACCACATGTAAGAAAAGTGGCTCTCACAGAAGGGGTTGACTGCGCACCGAGGTTCCTGTTCATTTTTCAAACTCTTTAGACCTTCCTTTACCAGTCACCGAATTTTCGAGGTGCAAAAACGAAAAAACTTTCCGAATGACCTAACACAAGCGCTCGCGGAGGAATTTCGACGAGATATGCGATCTTTACAATTTGGGCAAAATTCATGAGGACGTGTATTTGTAGGCTCGTAACTCGGCGAATTTCACAGACTGGAGCCTGAGTAATACACCATTATATAGCACAGTTCCTAGTAACTTTGACTGAGAAAAACAAGCAGGCAAGGTTTCTGACAGAAACGCGAGAAGTGCGGCAAAAGTTACGTACTTTCGTGATAAAGTTACAGTCACCTCACCGTATCTCTCCAAAAAGACCCTGTAATCCTCAAAGACCACGATTTTCGTAAAGAGCGTGTTCGAAAACCTCTATAAGCCAAGTTTCCTTACAATTCAAGAGCATCAACATTTTGACAAAAATCCATCGGCGCGCTTCCGGAGCGTAAAGCGAGAAAAAATGAAATGACCCGAACATAGCGGAAAACTTGCTCGTAGAGGTTATGCGACCTGCTGATTTCGAAACTCACATCTGCTTAGCAAGATAGCTTCGTATCCTGCTGATATGGCGAGTAGAATTTGGGACGACAAGATTTTTCCACTATTCACCAGCCCTTCTATTTCCTTTGAAAAGAAACCTGCGACTACTATTTAGCACATCACAATCTACAGAAAAAGTGCTATCGAAAGATCCTTGCTGAAATGTACTCGGGACAATGTTCGCTGCATTACACCTTCGCGAAAAGACGTCCTCAGAAAGATTCAAGAATACTGAAATCGAAATACCAAGGACATGCTGTGAGCTGAGCAAGGCGCAGTTTTCGGATTCAAAATATACTTATTCCGAAGGAAGTTATAGCGAGTAGAATTTAGAAACGCGTGATTTTTCCAAAATTCACCAACGCTTTCACCTCCTTTGGAAAGAAGTCTGAGCCTATTTTTTAGCGCACAATATTTTACAAGAACAGTATTATTGAATAGTACTTAGTAAAGTCTTCTATGTTGGGTAGGCGTTGCTTCACATATTCGCGAAAGGACTTCCGCAGAACAAATTGAAAAAACTGGAAACGGAATATCGAAAACATCGTGCCCCCACTTCCAATATATCAGAAGATTCTCCGCGCCGAGCTGAATCGAACGGTGGCCTTGGATTCAGAATTCGTCCACTCTGAAGCGAGATATGGCCACGCGACGCTGATGTATGGACATGTCTATACATGTATGGACACGTACGGACATGTATGGACATGTCCATACATGTATGGACATGTCCGTACATGTCCATACATGTCCATACATTCGCGTCTTTTTTTCAAAAAATGTGAGCGGTATTGTAGTAGTACCTTAGCGGCGTTCTACTATTTAGCATACACTGCATAGATGTAAACGGTAGAAAAAATTGTAGAAAAAATTCACTCAGATGTTGAATTTTCTGTACAGGATCATAGGATATTTTATAAAGAGTATGATTTGATCTTTCACATAAAAATAAATGCACTTAATCGGTGGAGAAATTAGAAGTTGTGAATGCTTGAAAATGGTACGAAACAACTCGGAGGACCTAATATTCAGGACGCTTTCAAGATGGAGGATTTAGGTCACGTTTATGATAATCATCTATTAGGTTGGTCCGAAAGTTGTTCTGTCCCGTCATTTTCAAAAAATCCTAACTTCCCCCTCACATAATATTTTCGCATGGCTAAAACCTTATTGAAAATAGCAATTCATGCACTTTTTAAAACTACCTTGGCTCCTATCTACTAAGCTCTGAATGTAGAGATAAAATTGGGAAAATGAAATCACTTCAAGTCTGGAATTTTTGAGCAAGCCCGTTAAAAAATCCAAATCTGTGTCATAAAATAAAAACAGTACAGTCACAATCGTGGACTTTTTCACCTCCTCTTTCCAGATGGACAACATTCGCGCTGATCGAGCTGTTACTCTAAAAGTATGATTTTTGAAAAAAATGTCAAAAACAATTTTCTTAAGAAACAGATTTTTTTGGCATTTTTTGCTTGAAAATCATAACTTTTCTAGGAAGAGCTTCATCAGCGCGAATTTTGCTCATATAGAAAGAGAGGACCAGGAATGATATCCACGAAGGTCCATTTGAAAATGGGCTTTTCGCGAATGAAACGCGAAAAAAATGAAATGAAATGGGCTATAGAATGAAATAAAATGGGCTTAGTCCCTGCAGTGCGATAAGATATCGCGTTCGCGAATCCATTCATTCCATACAAAAATGCTTCAGCAAACCTTTCTTCAACTTGCCTCAACCTGTTTACTCACTCTTGCAAACTCATTCCCACC